AAATACTCACGAATATTTAATACTCGACTTAGTGTGCTCCTGCAATCATGGTCTTCATCTATAGATAAATACTGAGATAGATTCTCCTTAAATTCATACGCATATCGAAAAAGATCAGTGGTGATTAAAAAACATAAATATTATATGTTAATAAAATTTTGATTTAATTAAAGAAATAATGTTATACTTACATATTTCTCAAAAATTTGTTGAACATCTTCCTTAACAACTTCATCCTTACCCACACGAGCAGCCTTCGATAAAACATGTTATGGAAAGATGTTTCTTCACTTTTCTCATATTCTAACTACACATTAAGACAAATAATAAGATCAATTATAACACATGATGAACAAGTATATCATATCATTTATAAATACTTACTATTCTTTGTTGTAAGTGTTCATGTCCCAAATGCCCTTTTTTGTATGGATACGCGGGACTTGATGCTCATTGGCGATTTATGTCACTCACATTCTGGAAATCTGGGGTTCTTCGTTTGGCTTTAAAAGTTTCTCATTCTTCAGGTGAAATCAAGTCCGCATACATCTTTGGAAGTTCAACTTCAATAAAATTTCCTTCGGCTTCCTTAAGAAACTTGTTTGTAAAAAAAGATCGAAACCTTCTGTGTCTTTTTTCGGCCAATATGTTTTTCGGCCACCATAAATGTTAAAAGACCTCTAAAAAAAATATACATAGAGTGCGTTAGTATAAGTAATTTAAAGACATAATCGTCAACAAAAACAAATAATATCACATATGATACTTGTATCTCACTGTATATTTTTCTATAGCGGGTTTCAACTCTCGATTTCTCCAATTATCACAAGTGATTGGAATTTCCCCCCTTACAAGGAAACCAATGTAACTTTTCAACATTGCATTGTGAGGCTCAATTAGTTGGCTATCTGGATTCTAATGTACTTTATTCATTCATCTCTTGCACGAATGATTCCCTTCATAATAGTTATTCCTCATGTAATTTCATTTTCCACATCATGAACTGATTCATTTCCATCATTATTAGAAGCATCATGTGAGTGATCCTCGTTACTAGTCATTTGACCTGTAATAAAGAAAAACATAAACATAATATAAAATTCCATAATTCATTGAATATATAAAATGACAAATACATAATTGTATTAAATGACAGAATATATAATTTTATTGAATGACAAAATATATAATTTTATTGAATGACAAAACATATAACATTTTACTAGTACCTTTTTCACTAACATATTTTTCTTTTCTTGGTTGGAATATGAATTACTTGTCTCTTAACAATGCAAACAGATGGATTGATCTAAATTCCCTCATTATGATCATTTCTAATATATGATTCATTTCCCTCTAATATATGACTCATTCTCAACATCAATATCACCTTGATTTACATTGTTATCATCAATCACTTTGATAGATAAAATCACTATAGACCATTTCATACTTGTCAGATCAGTGACATAGAACATTTGTTTAGCTTGAGAGGCTAGAATAAAAGACTCATCTTTGTACCCCACCTTATTAAGGTCCACTTGCAAAAATCATGACTTATCCATTCGTATGCCACTATTATGTACCCATTTGCAACCAAAGATAGGAATATGAAACTTCTCATAATCAAACACCCAAATGTGCTCAATAACCCAAAAATATGATAAATTTGCATATTTGGGGTTTAAGTCCTTCATACTTGAAATTTGCATTCCTTCAGCTACCACGGTGACACCACTATTTTGCATAGTACTTTTATCATCTTGTTCTTTGGTATAAAATGTGTATCTATTAATTGCGTATGCGCTATAAGAAAACACATACAAACTCATACCATATACTAAACATCTCAATCTTTTTGTTATTGAAGCGAGATCTACATAAAACTTTAAATAAATATGATCCTTAAACCATGGTATAAAACTTTGATTGTGCTCTCGTACTATCTAATTTTCATTTCTATTCGAATTTAAACCCCGGAGTACATCCTTGTGCATTTCGACAAACGACTCAAGCTTATTATCATTGTGCAGAACATACAAATGCACTTGATCCCATTCAGTCCTTGATATTGTCACAATTTTATTTCCAAATAACTTTTTTCCTTCTTTTTTCCCGAAAATATGAGATTTAGGGAGTCCAATGAATTGAACATTGGACAAATATTCAGTACAAAACTCATCCACTTCTTCAACAATGTATTTTTCAACAATACAACCCTCTGGCCAGCTTAGGTTTTTCACATACCATTTTTAATATTTTCATATAACATTCAACAAGGTACGTCCATCTCATATAAGTTGGTCCACACAATTGTGTCTCTTTCACAAGATGAACAACTAGATGTACCATTTTGTCAAAAATGAGGGAGGAAAATACATTTCAAGCTCACACAAAGTAATAACTATTTCTTTTTGCAATGTTGGTAAGATATTAGGATCGATCACCTTACTACAAATTGACCTGAAGAAAAAACACAATTTAGTTATGACGCTTCTTACTTTTTCTGGCAAAATAGAACGTATACCTATTGGTAGAAAATGTTCTATTATAACATGACTGTCATGTGTCTTTAAACTCTTTAACTTGAAATATTTCATAGACACAAGTCTTCTAATATCTGAAGAGTATCCTTCTGGAACTTTAACTTCACTTAGAAACTTACACAATATTTTTTTCTCTTTTCTAGATAGAGTATAAGTAGCAGGTGGTAGATATGTTCGTCTTCCTTTCTTCAAGGGTCCTAATTCATTTTTTATTCCCATCATTATCAAGTTCTCTCTTGCTTTAAGGTCATCCTTAGACTTGACTTTCCTTTTATATTGAGTAACGTACCAATAACACTTTCAAATACATTTTTCACTGGATTTAGAGAACTCATTTAATGATGCATATTTATTTCGAAACAAAATGCAATCATTTGGACAAGCATGTATCTCATCATAGTTCATGCCAATAGAGCACAACATTTTTCTGGCCTCATAGGTTCGATTAGGAAGAACATTATTCTTCGGAAGCATATCTTTCATAAGGGCTATTAACTCCGTGAAACTTTTATCCGACCATCCATTGTCTGCCTTTAAGTTATACAACTTTAATATCACAGACAATCTTGTGAACTTAGTGCAACCTTTATACAACTGTTTCTCTGCATTGCTTACCAACCTCTCAAACATTTTGGGACAATCCTGAAGATCTTCTTTAAGTGCTTCTGTAATCTCTTCAACTCGATCACAATCGTATGTATATGTGCCATTGTTGTTTGAAGCATAGGTTGTATTATCCCCCGATTCAACATTCTCGTTACTTTTCTCACCATGTAATGTCCAACATGTATAACTTCAATCAATCTCATGCCTCTTTAAATGCGATTACAACTCAAGTGCATCAACCCGACACCAATAATAGCAACCTAAGCAAGGACATTTCATTTGACTGGGGTTTTTGGCGTGCTCAAGAGCAAACTTAACGAATTCTAATACCTCATTCTCATACTCTTTTGACAATCAATTGGAAGACATCCAATTTTTATCCATTTTTTCTACTAAGTAAGCTAAATAAAAACACTAATTATTCACGCAACTATAACAAAAGAACAACTAATTACCTATAGAGAAGTCAACAACTTCTGGAACCACACTGTAAGATTCTTGGAAGCGATCAAAATTTCACTCTTCACAAGTAACCCCTTGCAAAGACATTCATGACCAACGTTTATCACGTTGAAAAAAGGAATGAGAAGCTATATAAATTAGCATCATATAATTGCAATAAATTAGCATCTAATTAAATATTTTTTAGAATCAATTTAGACAATCAATTATTTATTGGTTAAGATTTGCATTGTTTCCCTCCTTACCCCATAGCCAGTGCATCTTTTTCTTTGTTCTATTAATTTTCTTTTGTGTCAGTATCAGAAGAAGATATAGTGTTTTATTATGAATAACAAACAATAATTATTTGTCTAGTATCCTATCACCCTGCAAACATTTCACTAATTAAGAAAATAGTTTATTTTTCAAACTAAAGAGTTTTTTCTGATTTAGGCTACTCAATACAACTCATTCCAACTCAATACAATACTACTCAGAAAAATATTGTTAACGAATGAACTCAAGTGTCTAACATGGCACGTGGCAGAGCACCTATTTTAAAATATAGGAATCAATCCATTATGCACCAAGTCACAAATTGATTGAAATTGTAATGCAGAGATGAACCTTCCTTTACAAATATCTTTCATCCAGCAAAGTTCAACCAACATACTCATGATCAATCATAACTAGTTTCACTACAACTTTGGCCTTTTACATGTGGTCCGATACATTTCATGGCACACAATTTTATTAAAAGACCCTTCCACAAATGCACATAATGGAATGAGGCAAAGTAACTAAATGATGGGAAAAAATAACCCAATTGTAGAACAAAAAGAAACTAGCATTTGCAACTTTGGCATTATGCAGTTTGCAATATTAATGAATATAAATAAGATAAACACAAGAAAATAAAAATCAATAAATGTTTTTAACTTCAAATTAATTCAGTTCTTAACCAACTTCCAATCACCTAAACCACATTCAACATTAATCTTTAACCCTTAGCAATTAAATGTTTTTCTACAGTGAGACAAGGCTAAAAGGAATTCAAACTGTCATTTGAAGACCGGTCAGTGGTTATATGATTATATCATCTAATCTACAGGTTTATGGCTTTTCATCACTGCACATTATAAACTCCAAAACTAAGAGAAATTGTATATACATGAAAGAAGAAACTGCATATTATAACCATCAACACTAACATAACTCCCCCAAAACCACCATAACAGTTAACCTCAAAACAAACATCCTAACAATGTTAATCACTTATAATTGTAGAACAGTGAAACACCCAAAAAAATCACCTAAAATCACACACCTTCGTTCTAATTTCAACACCCAACTAAACCAATGGTTTAAGTTTTTCGGCACAACATAGATTTGAGAAAGAAAATACCTTTAAAGTAGTAGATGAAAGCAGGAGTTTAGCCTTGCAACGTCGGAGTTGGAGTCAGAGTCGGAGGGAGTAGAGTTGCAAAGTTCGAAAGCTGATAGAGGAAGTATCTGTGGAACTGGTGAACGGAGTCGGAGTCGGAGATGGTGAAAATCGGAACTGGTGAACAGAGGCGGAGAGAGTTTGGTCGGAGAAAGAGAGATTAGCATTGAGAACGAAGACGTGGCATTGAGAATGGAGGCAGAGAGAGTTTGGTCAGGGAAAGAGAAATTCAAAATTTTGTTTTTAGGGTTTCATGTTTAGAGATTAATGAAATAACATGCATTGCCCCTAGCAGCGCTTTTTATGATAAAAGCGCTTTCTATTATATGGTCTATAGCAGCACTTTTATGAAGCGCTTTCTAAAGAACTTTAGCAGCGCTTTTATGAACGTCCTTTAGCAGTCTTTAGCAGTCCTTTTTAAAAGCGCTTTCGTATGTATGACTTTTATCAGCGCTTTCTAAAGGTAGCCTTTAGCAACGCTTTTTCTCAATTTAGTATATAGTTTTAGTTTTTTTTAGCTTATAGCAGCGCTATGGGAGAAAAGCGTTGTCTATGGTGTGCTGCCTAAATCTAATGTTGACGTAGTGGAAGTTTCAAGAGGCGTTGCATTTCGGTTCGATCCCCGCTAAGCGCTAATTTGAATAAATAACGCCTATTGTACACTTGCTTGATATTTGATGTATTCACGGGTCTTTTGCGCTTCAAGGTTGCAAGTATGTTTTTGGATGGTACCAAATTCAATGTCATGTCAGAAACACATGTCTTCTCCTCCGGAAGGAGTCGACATGCAATTGGATGACCGACTAATCTTATACTTAAATCATGATTGTGTAAGCCACATATCACATTAAATATCCATTTCTTATTTGTCAAGAGATAACCACACAACTTAAATGGACATTCACATTTCCTTGAACCGGTGTTGTCTCGTTTCAATTTCTGGGTCCGACACATATATTTCCCACTTCTTTCGCATGTTAAAGTCACAAATGCACATCTTTTACCCGTGCCATTATCGGACCTTCTAATCACAACACCAAACTCTAGTTTGGTAGCCTTTGTACAAATCCACTGCAGCATGTCTTCACGTAATTCAAACTTTTTTTCAATTTCAAAATGGTCACGAATATCTACCGTCTTAGATACAAGAGGTGAAACAACTTGAGACATATTAGATTTGAGAATATTATCAGGATGATCCATACCTAATGTAATAAAAAATAGTAAACTAATTAGCATACCGTTGTTGGAAAATTAAGCACATCCAAGAATCGGAAATATATTTCTGGTTAAGTTCAACTACTAACCGAAATTATATTTTCGGTGTTAGCGTAACCTTTTTCAAGATGAAAAGTTGATTAATATGAAGAATGAGGATTGAAATGAATAAAATTTACTTTAAATTCTACTTCCTTGAGCTCTTTTTGATATGATGAACCACAAGAATGAAAATTTGAAGTGAAAAAATAGAATGAGAATGGAATGTTTTTTAGAGGGTTTATGGAAAGACGGAGAAATGATTTTGATCATCCTTGTTCATGTTGGTTACTGATTTAAGTAATATGCATTTTTCATGATACCAGAAGTATATTTTCGATAATATATAAAATGACAAGGTGACAAAAAATTTAATATTCATGTTATACAAACCGAAAATACAATACCGATTGCAACCGAAACTATAATTTTGATTCTGCTTTTGCCTTTTGATCTATTTGTGTATGGTACATGGTGCGCACCGGAAACATATTTTCGATTTCTAAGAGGCATTTTAAGAATTACTTAAGATTTTTCTTTTTACTATAAGATGGAAAAAAATTCTCAAAAAATATACACTCATTCGTGACCGCTTGACACAATAGTTTATCATGTGACAGGTTGAGTGATGAATATGTTGAGTGATAAATTGTACAAATGGAAATGAGAATATGATGAATAGAATGAAACAGGGTAATATGAGAAGATGACAATAATACGAATAAGAAGAATGAAGATGAGATGAGTGAGACAAATACAAACATAAAAATCATGAGATAAATGAAGATAGTGAACTAATACAGGACATTCACTTAAAAACTTGAATTTCTCTATGACTTTGATTTAGAATTTTAAAACTTTAAAGTTTTCTTCTTCTATTTTTTTTAAAATTAAATTTGTTCTTTGTTTTTTTAAAATTATTTTCTAAAAAAGTGCTAACCGGACTATAACTAATACATACATGTCATCGATATAATGTCAAAAATCACAAATTTCAAAACAAGAGAGTCAAAAATCACAAATTAATTAAAACATAAACCAAAATTGCATTTAAACTTATTCAGAGTACCTTAGATCTCAAAATCTTATAAAAATGGAGAGAATCTCAACTCTAAAAACACCAGGGTGCTAATAGTAACTTTACATTACATACCCCCTTCACAGTTCACAAGGCCTAAGCAACCCAAACCAAATTGCTCAAGAAAATATTAATCAAAAACAAAACAAAAAAAGAAAACGAAAATTGGCACACAAGGTTAGCCTATAGAGTTGAGTTTTCACATAGAGCCGCATCCTTTGTTCTTTGCAGTAGCGGCGGCGAACAATCTCCGATTACTGCACTCGTTCACTTCACAAGGTAACCCTTCTTCTTCTTCTTCTTCTTCCTCCGTTATTTTTTTCAATCTCTTCAGATCTCGTTATCGTTTTCGCGTTCCTTTTTAGATCTGCGAATTTCTAGGGTTTTGACTTTGCATCCATAAATCCATATAGATTATCATTGATTAGAATAATTTATGTTGTTTAAAATGATAATTATGGATTAAGAGTGTTCTAATGTATTTTTTAGCCTGATTAGAAAAATTTTGTTTTTTGATTTTGCTTTATTTGCAGATTTGATGGCGTCGAAGTTGAAATCTTTGCAATCGAAAGCATGTCAAGCGTCTCAATTTATATCCAGGCATGGGAATGTTTACTACAAGCAATTGTTGGAGCAGAACAAAGAGTATATTCAGGAGCCTGCTACAATTGAGAAATGCAACCTTTTGTCTAAGCAATTGTTTTACACCCGTCTTGCTAGGTTCTATTTTATCCTTTGTTCATTTTCAGTTTTGTGCTATAATTCTCTATTTATATATGCTTGTTGTTGTCCATAATTTGTTCATTTGGTTGTTATTGTGGTTCATTTCAATTTGATTTTGTTGGTAATTTTTTCTGTTTCATGTTTTTCCCTTTATTCCACTTTGAAGCCCTGAAGGGTGAGGCCGACATTGCATGTTTTGAACTTAAAAACAGGTAGTAGACAGTCAGCATCTTGTCGCAAAGCAGCTTACTTTGGTATTAGTAATTAGTAATTTCTAGCTGTTTACATCAAATGGTTAGGTGATCGGACGTATTGAGGATGTCTATTTCAGATTTTAAGATATAATCTGAATTCTGATTTAATGTTCAAAATGAATACTTGAACATTGTAACACAACCAGATTGAACTACTCTGTCCAATCAGTTAGCATTTAAATACAAACAAATTGAATAAATAATAAATCTTAGGTGCAGTGCTTTAGCCACTGTTCCAACTGTTCTCAACTAACAAAATAGTATAAATATCGTCATCATTTTTGACTGTAAAAAACTGCCTTTTAAAAAATCTGTTTTTTAGAAGAGTAGTACTTAGGGTGCTCTGTCTATGTTTACTCCAAAAGAACAACTGACAGATTACAAAACCAATATTTTTTAATTGAAAAATATATTCCTTGGCTAAATTTAAGTCCAGTAACTAGTTATAAGAATCCATATATATGATATGATTCTTTTCTCTGATTATTTTATTTTATCAGTAATTTGATCATAGTTAAACCTTTTATCTAAGATATGTATGTAAAGCTGGAAGCTTAACTAACTTGGTTATTAGTAAACTGGTAGCCTAACCAAGTGGTGGGCTCAAGTGGCTAGTGAGCTTCTTCTCAAGTGGTGGGCTCAAGTGGCTAGTGAGCTTCTTCTCAAGTAAAATTGATCGGGAGCGCCTGAGTGATCCTTGGTTGAAGTAACCATTCACTGGTCAAGCATTACATATAAGATATATCTCAGTTGAACTTCCAATTACGTGGATCCCTTCTCCCTAAGAATAGAAGTAAGCTGTTAGCTTGTTCTAGCTGGGTAGTTAAGAATTGGTTGCAATAGTCAACCCATGAGCTTTCTATATATTGCTAATCATTGTATTAGAGATCAATCAATGAAAATTAAATTAACAATGACTATTTACAGCCTCTGTATTTGGTTTCCCCTCTGCAATTTTTCCTGCCTTTTAACTGTTAATCACTGCATTTAGCAGTTCAATGAGCAGCTTGGTTTCTAAGTATTGCTGCTTTTGATGACCTTTTGGACTACCCATGATTAATTGAAACCCTGATTATAAAGTTGGACTCTCCTAGGCTTTATAAACTTGTCTAACACACCACAACATAACCCTTTATCTGTTATTAACTTAAGTACAATGAGCAGTAAGTGAAGAAAATATCTATTTTGTATAATAGTTATTCTTAATAGGGATTGTTTTTATACACTGCAGTAGCAAGGCAGGCATATTTTGCAAATGCCAGCGCTTCAATGAAACATGTCTTAGCTTCAAATAATTTCTTTGGATGAGCATGTATGTTTTGCACCTTTTTGCAGCATTTGGTTGATGCGACTTCTACTCGTATACCATAATAATTAGTAAACCAACTTAGATTTAATCCCAAAGTGCCTTTCCTGCAACAGAATGTATAGCAATTTATATTCTGTGGATGTCAACTACACAATACTTTCAAGTGCAGACTGCCGTTTCTTACGTTACATTCTTACATTTTTATTTGTTCAAACTTTCATCATTCAGATAAAAACAGGTGGGTCCGCCAAACACAGTGATAGAGAGATATATGGAGAGGCTTAGCATGGGATTCACAACTGTGTAGGAAAGTACTTCTCAAAGTTGGAGGAAATTTTCACTGTACCGTGCATGAGTCCTGTGATGTTCTGTGGGGCATAATGTTAGTAAGTTCAGTGTTGCAACAATGAGAATGTTACTACAAGACAAGATAGGATTAAGAATAAAGTCATTGGAAAGAAGTTGAGTGATTTCCATCATAGAAAGGATGGTAGAGCTTAGTCTTAGGTTATTCGGGGGGATATGTTCGGAGAAGAGCTATAGTAGCATTACTAAGAAGGTTGATAAAGTAAACGATAATTCAATAGTCAAAGGTAGAATTGAATCAAGGACAAATATGGGTCAGACCTGTAAGAAAGATTTGTAGTTAACAGTCTGTCACTGGGGACTTAATTCATACGAGGCATTATGACATCATATGAGCCCAGTAGTTTACCCCAGGAAAAAGCTTTTTCAACTATGTTTGGGTGAATGACTTTGAAAGAACTGATTAGGTTGAAATTAAGATTGAATTAAAGTGATTAATATTTGAATATTTTCTAAATACAAACTTGGATGTAAGACAGTGCAAATTTTTCAATTCAATGCAAAAGCTACTTTTTATCACTTCTAGTTAAACTAAGGTTTGTTAACAAAATCAATGATCCAAAGTAACCCAGCATAACTTATTTATTTTTTACTAGAATCCTATTAGTAAGAAGAGAAAAAATAAAGTCCAAGACTTTCTACTGTGAATTCAAACACACAAATTGCAAGATTGTCTTAGATTCTTCTGACCTCAAACTGATGTTAAGTGGAAGGAGTAGCAAAGGAAAGGAGCTTTTCCAAATAGTGTCTTAGGAGGTGCTATTTAACCAAAGGATTGTAAGTGCTACGGAGTGTAGAAATGCATGTAATTTTCTTGATCACCACAAAATAGACACAACATGATTTATGAATTTTAAAGAAAAAACAATCTTTGTTTTTGGCTAACTTTTTGTGTCTGGTCAAATTGCTCAGAACTATATTTTCATGTTTGAAGTTTGATTATATTCCTTGAATGTGATCAGCTCACAATGTGCTTGTGAAGGTTTACAATAAGGTAGTTAATCATGTCAATAATGCTGATAACATGCTGCTTGTAGTTTTTGTGCTGAAGCCTGCTTCTGTCTGATGTTTTGAACTTTGAATTTCGCTTATGCACTCTATTACAACTTCGTTTTCAAACTAGCTGTGCTAATTAAGTTGTCCGACATATCTTCACTTCACGACCATCTTTAGTAAATTAACTAGACAATCATGGTGAAATGTGATGAAGACATGCATTCTTCCTGGTCAGATGTCAAATACATACATCTGTCAAGTCTGTTCTAAACAAATTTTGTTTTCAGAGCTACTGCATGTCTATATATTACTCACTCTGGTATATATTTTGCAGCATTCCTGGTCGTTGTGAGGCCTTCAAGAAGGAACTCGATTATGTCAAGCAATTATGGAAGAACAAACAAGACTTAAAGGTTGAAGATGTAGGCATTGCTGCTTTGTTTGGTTTGGAACTCTATGCATGGTCTTGTGCTGGTGAGATTGTTGGAAGGGGATTCACTTTCACTGGTTACTATGTCTGAAAATAGTCACCTAAGTGTAGATTTTTGCAGTCCCTATACACTCAAATATGGGCATTCCGCATGGCAATGTGTTATTCTGATTTTTATTTACTTTGAGAAAACATGGTTGAGTAACTAGTGGTTAACTTTGATAAGCCTCAATAACCCCTTGTACTTGAAGTGGGAAGGACGCGTTTTGCGCGACTTTTCAACAATGGTGCTCCATCAATTTTTTGAAATAATTGTCACAACTTTTTGAAATGATGTTACTGTTTTTTTTTTATTTTTTAGCTTTCTCTCGTTGTACAAGTTGCTCTAACAAAATATGGATTTCTGGTTAAGCCATCTCCTCTACCGATCAGCTTTGCCTCCTATGTATATAAGGCTTGGAAGTGTCCTTGTTGAGTGGACCTTTGTTATACTCTTACAGTTAAATAACAAACCACTATAATACTAAAATTCTTTTTTCACCCCCTTCCCTGAAATCTCTAGGCAGATCAGTATAATTTTGTTTTTAATTTATGTTCCTGATTTCAATCTTTTTACCAATGTTTTAAAAATTGGAATGAATCGGCCGGTTCAACTGATTAGATCGGAAATCGGAGATGAATCTGGTTGGGTTAACATTTCAAAATTGTTAGTGGGTGAAAACTGAAGTGAAACCAGAAAATTCGGATTGAACCATTTAAAATCAATTGGATCAAAGAATTGGAGTTTGTTTTGAAAAACTGCCCGATTCAAAAAAATACATTAAATTGACTTCTTTTTTTTTAAAAATTTTAATATGACAATATCAAAAATTAACATATAATTTTCAATCACAAAAAAGAATTTGGTATTTTTTTTTACAGCCATGCAAATTTTTAAATTGTTACTCTGTTATAATTTTTTTTAACTACACTATCATCATCACACTTTCAAACAAATACATTGTCCAACTTTTTAAGTTAATGTTATTTGTTATGGTCAATTATGACTTATTTGTTATTGTCAATTATGACTTATTTATCGTAGTTCAATTTAATTTTTTTTGTTTAATTAAGTATATTATTTATTTTGTTATTGTTTAATTAAGTATATTATATTATTTAGTTTTGTTATTCTATCTTATTTAATTTTAATTATTTTAGTTTTATTTGAAATTTATGTTAGTTATTTTGTTCTGTTATTTATTTTAATTTTGTTTTGAATTAGGTTAATTTATTTTATTGTAATTCTTTAATTGTTCAAATATTTTAAATAAAGGTTGAAATGAAGTGTACAATTATGTTGTGATACTATATATACTATTGATATTGTTGTATTAAGTTTATAATAGATTTTTGAAATATTTATTCTATTAAGCGTGAACACATAATTATATGGGACATATTTATGAAATTTAGTTTTATATTATTAGTTTATTTAATAAACGGTTCGATTGTAAGTTTAACCGATTAAATTAATTGAACCTTAAATTGAAAGTTTCGCAGCTTCAATTTCCGGTCCCGTTTTTGAAACATTGCTTTTTACCCTCTCCCGTTTTTGAAACATTGCTTTTTACCCTCTCCCGTTTTTGAAACATTGCTTTTTACCCTCAGAATAAAGCTTAAATGCATATTTAATTTAATCTTTGCAAATATACTATTTTCTTACACTTAGTCACTAAAAGAGAATAGTTCTTTTGTAAAGAATTTTCGATTTACTTTTGAACTATGTAATGATGAAAATCAAAACAATTTTTTTAACGAGAATTAAAAGTTAAAGAAATATTTGTGGAGACTATACATTTTTAAACCTCTCAAAAACTATTAATAAGGCTTTCTGATTTCTCTTTTAAAACCATGAAAAGATTATGATGATTGGAAATCCAAACAAGGAAATCATGAACCATCATGCATTCTTTGCGTGAAAGATCCTATATAAGAATACAATCATATTCACTGAAAAATCTATCCATATTCATTTGATTTGGATGCAGTTAATAGCGTGAAGGGTTTCATAGAAAAAAATGGACAATATATCAAAGCCAGCAATTTCTCCCAATCCAATTATTTTGAAGAGTGAGGGCTCACTCAAGGTTCATACAAATATTTTGTTGTGACTGTTTTGATTTATTTCCCTACTTTAACACTAATTTTGTAACAATATATGCTAGAAACAAGCGTTTATCCACGAGAAGCAGAGATTCTCAAAGAGCTAAGGAATGCAACCACAAATCATCCTCTGTAATTATTCTTTATAATATAAATATTACTTTCAACCTACAACCGTGCAAGTTAGTTAACATAACATGATTTGATATGCATACAAGAATCTCAAACATGATCCCATGACATTGTTATATTCATTTTTGTTGAACTTGATTTCCAATGCCAACATTTTTATTTTGATGTATTACTATTTTCATTCTTTCAGTGGCTTCATGGGCACTTCACCTGATGCGGGGCAGCTAATGGCCTTGCTTTTGAAACTTTTAAATGCTAAAAAGACAATTGAAGTAGGAGTTTTCACTGGATACTCTCTTCTCCTCACCGCCCTTAACACTCCTTGCGATGGAAAGGTTATGCTTCTAAGGTGGAGAAGTATCATTTATAGTTTATGTTATTAGCTCCTTTGTTTGCCTGGTGTAGATTACAGCTTTAGATCCAGACAGAAAAGCATATGAGATAGGACTTCCATTCATCAAAAAGGATTGTGTTTTGCACAAGATTGACTACATAGAGTCTCCAGCTCTGTCAATTCTTGATAAACTCCCGCAAGATGTAAGCAACTTACAAAGCATCTCTACATCTCTCTAGCCAATTATGGTTTTCATTTCATTTTTTGTTTTGGTGCAGCCTGCAAATGAAGGGACTTTTGACTTTGCCTTTGTTGACGCTGACAAAAATAACTACTGGAATTACCATGAGAGGCTTATCGAATTGGTTAAGATTGGAGGGATTGTTGCCTATGATAACACACTTTGGGGAGGAACTGTTGCCTTACCAGATATGACAGTATCAGAACCAAAGAGAGAATGGAGAAGATTCACACTTGCTTTTAACGAAGCAATTCCAAGGGATTCTCGTCTTGAACTTGCTTTTGTTTCAATAGGCGATGGACTCACTATATGCAGACGCATTCACTGATTTAATTTGATTCCTAATATTGAGTTATGACCAATAGTCCAAGACATGTCTAAGAAAATTACTCCCTTAATAAATGTTCTCAATCTACCAACTAGAACTAACACGAACGAATATGCCATAGTATAGAGCTGAACTTGTGGGATTTAGATCTCACGCCGATGCAATTAAAGTAGTCATCATTCTTGAAATCAAATAAGCTGAATGCATATATAACTGTGCAGCAGCCTCACCTCTAAGTACATACACTCATTGATAGTAATACTCCTAATCCTTTCTCCTTGGGAATCAAAACCACATTTTTTTGCACCAACAGTACAGAGATACTTCTTATTTTACCATAAATTGGATGGCAACTATTGTTAATTAAGGCCACCTATTTTAATATGCTATAAGTTAAATACAAGAAAAAAATCTAGTAAAGTTAATTGGACTTCATTTGGTCGGGCATTAAAATATCAACCAGGCGACAGGGATGGAAAATAAATTTCAACTCATTATCCTCTAGAAAGATACATTTTTCGTCTCATCCAAAACTGCATCTTCGGAAAAACAAATAAGAAAACCAGTGTGCAGAATGGTTGAACTTGAATTAACTATGGATTACATAAGTCCCACTATATATTTAAAGTAGATTACGAACTAAAAAGATTATATGATATCCATTCGATTCTAGTCTATTATTTAACAGAAACAGGACTAATTTCCACAGCATGAGATCCAATCACACTCAACATGCATGAACCACCACAAAATTCATACAGCACAATACTTCAATAGAAAACAAAACCTCCTTTTCTGAATAAAACATTATTTCATCAAACTCATTGAAAGTTTATCAGTAAACTTAGTTGAACACAGTTGCTGGTTAACATAACAAGGTAAAGAACGACTTTAGTGAAAGTAACCAAGAACCTGACCACCTACATTCCTTTTCGCGGCCTCTTCATGATCCAAAACACCATCAGGAGTTGTAATCACAACATAACCCCACTGCATCAAGATAAATAGAACGAAATGATTATCCTTTTCCTTAACTGCTTTCTTTAAGAAGTGAATATAAAAGCTGGCATCTGATACAAACAGCAGTCTCCATATTCAAAAAGGTCAAACTGCTATAAGCCTATAATACTAAATGAAAACAAAACAATAAGCATTACCAACCTGCTTTGTTGGAAGAGTACGCAATCTGTAGGCTTCGATATCCTTTGCCTTTAGGTCTTGTCGGTATGTAAGGGCCTTGCAATCGTTAAGTCTACCTTGTAGTTCAACAGTAATCCTCCCCACTCTATGGGGATCATAGACCTGAAAGTCCTTGATATATCCTATCAAGATAATGAATGAAACAAAATTAGCTAAATTTACATTGGCATTGTAGTCATTCTCTGAATATCAAATGATTTTAATATGTTCAGAACCGTTCATTTTCATCTTAACTAGACCATGTCAGAGGATTTTGGTAATGTTTCACGCGTGCACATAGACATACAGAAATAAAGAACATTCTTCTCCAAATGATAATACTGTTCGAAAGTAGTTCCCAACAAAAAACATAGAGACCGATTTTATCCATTAGTAATGAAGTCCTAACACACATCACTGACACCAATGATAATTTGAGAAAAATAGAACTAATTATATGCAATCACATGGGTAGATGTCCCGGATCAAAAGCTTTGAAGATAATACAGATTTGAAGATTTAACTTTACGTTAGTTTATGATGTAGATCATAATGAATGATTCTGTAGTGTAGCTAGCTTCGTGAAAACTATTGATTCATGTTATAAATCTCAACTCTACTACTGTGTTGGTTGTGCAACCAAGCATCGCCATAGATACATACAGCTACAGTATTTGTAACCCTAACTTCTTTCTAGGTTACTAACCCTAACTTATTTCATCTTATTGTAATTTATTAACTTTTCTCTCATGTGTTTCTCTTTAGATCTTCATGTGTTTCTCTCATGGTGATGTTGGATATGTTGTTGGAAGGAGGGAAATTTTTTGAAGCATTTTAGCCTTTTGGCATTGGATCAAAGCACATATATCGAACCCTAACAACATTTAAACCCTAGAAGTTTAACATGCAGGATCTTGTTCAAGTTAGAAGCTTTAGAAATGGTTACTATAACCATGAGGAACCTGTTGTTGTTTATTCACCATCAGAAATCCCTAACTTCTTTACTACTTTGAATCCTTTGGAGTTCCAGGAACAACTAGGTGCAAGTGCAGAAGAATCAAGTAGATTAATAATGGTGCATTGATACAACATCATCATCATCATCATCATCATCATCATCATCAACAGCACTATGGTAATTCATATCCTAATTCCCTGACTGATTTTCATTCTCCTCAACAAAAGCGAATGATTTTGGAAATTGGAGAAACAGTACTTTTCAACATCAAGTCGCTGATAGGTTTCTAAATAATGCAACAAATTCTCTTCCATGTGTTTATGGCGGTGAGAAGCAATTAGGTCATGTCATGCATCATACTCCTACTTCTTCACCACTGTATCAGAATCATTCTTTGCAAGATATAGTTAAGTCTATCACTTCCAGTAGTTTAGACTTCAGATTCTCACATGACTCACTCATGCATCATAACAATGCTCAAGAAATTTGTGCAGGGAATGCTTCTGAACATCAACATCAACCAAATCAGTTGGAGTTTGGATGGAAAAATCAAACAGATTCAAATCCACGAAGCTTATCATTATCACTTTCATCTAAGGTTCGTGTTTCTAAAGATTGTGGAAAACCATTTCAAGATTTGGTGGTTGAAATAATACCTAATTCTAAGACTACTAGCTATGGAAATGTGGGTCCACTTGGCCCTTTCACCGGTTATGCTACTATTCTTAAGAATTCAGGATTCTTAAATATTGCTCAAAATTTGTTAGCTGAGGTTTGCTGTCCAAAAGTTTTGTCAATATGCGATGTTTCAGAAACTGAAGTTGCTTCTAAAGAAAGTCTTTCATTTTCTACATCATCTATGGTTCATGTTACTAGAGAAAATAGTGCTGATTGGGGATCCAGAAGTAGTTTTGGTGTTTCTTTGCGGCCAGATTATCAACAAAATAAAGCAAAACTTGTGTACATGCAAGAAGAGGTTGGTCTTTACCACTTCTTATATACTCTTTGTCCTTTAATATGCAAAAATGAGTATCGTTCATGTATTTTAATGTAAAAATCACGTTTATACTCAAAAGCTACAAATCTTAGTTACGAGTAGAATGAATTCCGAAAAGCAGAATCAATTTTACTCGAGAGCAACCAAACATGACAAAATCAATTATACACATCCATAATAAACTCTAAGTGCTTCAACAGGGAAGCCAAACATACACTAATTTGACAAACTTTTGACAATATTATGGACCAAATTTACATATTTTTTATTTTTCAAAGAACTTAGGTTTTCATTTTTTTTTTAAATGGGGATTTTACTCTAACAATAACAAATCCTAATGAAATTCTACAAAACAGACAAATCCAGCATAGAGTACTACATGAATTTCAATGTGAGAGTAGTGAAAACAAAGTGCAATGTTAGGAGTAATAGAATTATTACCGCGGTGTTTCATGATTTGAAGAAAGGAAGAAATGACATTGGATATAGGTTTAAGCTCCACCATAGCTTTCCCTCTCTTCTCAGCATTCACCATACTTCTCAACGCATCATTCAGTATCCTTCTCCCCATTCTTTTCCCTCTCGATCGATAACAATTTTGTTTCTTGATTTTGAAATTACGGTGTTGCCGGTTGTCGGAGTTTGTTCGCCGCCGCAACCTCGCGACGCTGCAGCTCCAGAATGCGCCTCTATATCTCTCTACGTGTATTTCTTGTGAAACTGTTTTGGGTTGTATGAGTTGAGATTGGATGGCAATTGGAAATTGCTTTTAGCACCACCTACTTTTCTTATACACTCCCCTTTTACTTTTTAAAAATCAATTCTTTTAAAAAAGGAATTACTTTAGAATTATTTTGTTTAGTAACTTACTATAAAGATTAGTTTTTATCAATTCAATTTTTAAATTAATTTTTTTATTAAGTATGTTAACTTCACAATGTTTACAAAAAAAAAAAAATCAATAATTATAATTGCATAATTGTTGTATTTTTACAAATTTATTATATTTTTTAATTGAAGTTATTAAATAAAGTATTAAATCATTTTTAAAATTTTAAAAATTTATGATTAATGACCTCAATCAGAACTTTTAATCAAACATTCAGATTAATACACTATAATATTTATAGTTAATAATAAGTATAGGAGAGTTATCTCGAGAGTAACTTAAGATCTCCTCTTATTAATATACTTTTTATAAATGTTCAAAAATATCTAATGATGATAGTTGTCATATAAATGTTCTCTATCAAAACTAAATTTATTGTGAATTACAACAAGATTCAATATTAATTTCTGAGGCAAAAAATAGTAGCAATCAAAATAAACAATCTACAATAATAATAATCAGTACACAGATAATATAATAGAATAAAACGAGAAAAAAATGAAGATTTGTTTACCCATTTCGATCAAACGATCTACTCTGGGGGAGAGAGCAACTCTCCAATTCACTATACTCAGAAAATTGTTACAAGAGATTACAAATGAGTTACAAGAAAAAAGTTTGCGCCTTCAGGTTCCAAACAACAACTTGAAGGCTCCCAAAAACAACCATATTTTTTACCCAAGTGTTTTCCAATCTATTCAACTTAAGTGTTTCTCAATTCCCTTAGATAACTCCAAAGGTGTATTTCTAAGTTTAGTCTTGAGAATAGTCAAAACCTTATGTTATACCTTTAAACTCTTGCTCTCCCTTATTGTTGTAAACTCTAAGATTGTCACACCTGCAAGCATATAAGAGATACATATTTATAATAACAAATACCCAACAAACAAAACCCAAAATCATAATCCAATCACACATGGATCCATGGACTGGACCAAAAAAATCCAAATCATGCAGACGAGAAACTGTCAAAAAAG